TGAAGTGTGACACTTCACACTTCAGGAGTATGACATGCCATACTCCGGGATATTTGGTACAAGGTACCAAGGTCATTCAAAACCAACCATTGGTTAAATGACATTGCATTTCTATAGGTAACTGATAGTTTGTATTAACCTCAAACTTAACCTACCTATAAATATACTCAGTTTACAATCTACCTTATTTAGGTCACTTCGCTCTCTTTAATTAAAGAGGGGACCTGTGAACTGCCGTTCACTGAGAGTTTGTATACTCTCGGAAGATAACTTCCTCTAGCGCAAGGTGCTGTGTGACCCCGTCACAAATGCAATGGTTGGCTTTGTAAAAACATCTTGGTAACTCTGTAACCCAAAAACCCGGGAAAAAGAAAGTGGCAAATTTCTTGAAAGGGGGAAGGGTTCACACTTCATGTAACCAGGGTACACTTAGGGCTACGTACCCCGTTACATGGCTGGTGCGATCATCGGGCTTGCAGGGCCGGCTGGGCAACGGGGCAGCATTGCTTTCGCCGTGGACGCTGGAGACCATCAAGTGTACGCAGAGGTCCTACGTAGGGCCCTATATCGGAGGGCATTTTGGCAGAAAGGCACATATTTATTATATATCGAGCATCAGGCTAAGTGAAAAGGACAAAAGCATTGACATGCACAATATTTAAATTTTACAAAATGAAAAAAGTACCGGTAAGTTACCATACGTTTAAGTTTTATCAAACGATGGCGGTAATCACCTTCACGCCGCTCTATGGCGTGCACTCGACCGCGCCCTGCTGTGCCTACCTGCTTGAGGTGGACGAGGTGTGTATACTGCTGGATTGTGGCTGGACAGATGCATACGATGTGGAGCTGCTCAAGCCTCTGCAGCGCGTGGTGGACCGCATCGACTTGGTGTTGGTGTCGCATCTGGACTTGGCGCACATGGGAGCACTGCCATACGCTATGGGCAAGTTGGGGCTCAGTGCGCCCGTGTACGGCACGTTGCCTGTGCACCGCATGGGGCAGATCGCGCTGTATGACGCGTTTCAGGCCAAGACGAAGCACGACAGCGACTTTTCACTCTTCTCACTGGACGACGTGGATCTGGTCTTCGAGCGGTTCAAGCAGCTGAAATACTCGGAGAAACTGACGCTAACGAGCAGTGGCGAGGGGATTGTCATCACGCCTCATGTAGCTGGTCATCTGATTGGAGGTGCGCTCTGGAGGATCATGAAGGAGACGGTGAGGATGGAGTTGCCGATGTTTAGCTGCTGACGATGCCTCCTTGCTGACCGGCTGTGCATTTTGATTGCAGGACGATATTATTTACGCTGTGGACTACAATCACCGCTCGGAGCATGTACTGCAGAAGACGATTCTGGACTCGTTCACGTTAGTTTTAGATGCCAAGACTGCGGTGTGTGTGTGCGGAGCATTCTTGCTGACTTTTACTATTGATATATTTATCTGCAGCCGACCAACGCTGCTCATTACAGATTCCATGAACCTGCATGCAGAGCAACCCAAGCTCAAGGATCGAGACAGCAAGGTTCGTTCTTACTGACGATATGCTAAGAGTTTATTCCAATGTAATCTTTTATCTTGTGGACAGATTATGATGGAGATTTTGAAGACGGTGCGAAATGGAGGAAACGTACTTATCCCGACGGACAGCTCTGGACGCGTGCTCGAGCTGATGCGAGTGCTGGACCAGTACTGGATCCAGAACAAGTAAGCGATGGAGAAGCTTTTTATAGTGCTGTCAGTAATCTGTACGTCTAACTATTTGCGCTTTGATCGTGCGCAGGCTGCGTGACCCCATCGCTTTGCTTCATGATATGAGTTACTACACGCCCAAAGCTGCGCAGGCGATGCTGGAGTGGTGTAATGACCGCATCGCAAAGAATTTCGACGTTGGCCGCCAAAACCCCTTCCAGTTCACGTATGTTAAGGTCACGATCATTCTTAGTCCAATATCGTAACTAACGTGGACTTGTTTTTGTAGACACATTCACCTGGTCCACACTTTGGAGGAACTGGATGCTCTACCGAATCCTAAAGTAAGTATTAAAAGTTCGTACACTGTGCTGTTTTGAAGAAATAATGATACTAATGACTGTCGAATGTATACTCAGGTGGTTTTAGCTACGTCACCAAGCCTAGAATGCGGCTTTGCAAAGGATATTTTCATTCGCTGGGCGCCCGATCCTCGAAACAGCATCATATTTTCGTCAACGACGTCAGAGACGTCATTTGCATCTCGTGTAGTGAAGCTATCAAAAGATCCGTCTGCCGAGAAGAATATTTCATGCACAGTGACGCAAAAGGTGTTCTTGGAGGGAGCTGAGCTTGCGCTATATGAGGTTAAGGAGCGGAAACGCCTTCGCACAGAGGCAGAAAACAAGGCGAAGGAGATTGAGGAGGCTGCAATGGAAGATATGATGATGGGAATCGAAGACTTTGAGTCCGAGTCTGAAGAAGAGGAAACGACGCCGCAAGAAGGTGAATTGCAGACAGTTCGTATAGTTTCACACAATTTCGAGCTAACGAGACTTGTGTAGTCCAACTTCGAGGCACATTTAAGGTTGGCCTGGGGCAGTTCGCATCGGTTCGCTATCCCATGTTTTTTGCTGTGGAATCAAAAACCGAGTGGGACGAATACGGAGAGGTACGAATAGCGTGAAGTTATTAATTTTATGGCTGTTTTTGGCATGATGTTGCTCACTTCTTCCAATAGATCATCAACCCAGACGACTTCAAGGACGCCACATTGCTGGCCAACCGCCAGGCTCGTCGTAATATCATTGAAGATGCTGATGGGGATGAGGACATGGAAAATGCTAATCAGGAGGCTGCAGTTGAGACTCGCCCCACCAAGACTATCACGAACGAAGTTGTTGTCAACGTACGAACCCCCCGTGCTTTAGTGGTAGCAGCAGCCGGTTTCGTCTTGAGTCACATTGACCATTTATGTTGTTACTCAGATCGCTGCTCGTATCACGCAAGTGGACTTCGACGGTATTGCCGATGGCCGAGCGATCCGAAACTGTTTGGGCAACGTCAAGCCTCGCAAACTCATTCTGGTTCACGGCACCGAAAAGACCACGAGCGAACTGAAGCAGTTTGTGGAATCGTCGATCCCAATGTGTGAAGCTGTGTTTACTCCTGACGTGATGGAGTGTATTGATATTGAGTCCGACACGAACGTGTACAAGCTATCAGTCAAGGAGTCACTCTACACGTCCGCAGTGTTCCGGAAGGCACGCTCACGATTCTTGTTTGCTCTATGAGAGAGAGACTTTCAGGTACTGACTCTTGTGAATTATTACGACTAACAGGTTGGCAGCCATGAAGTCTCCTATGTTACTGGCCAACTGGTGTTATCGGAGAACAGCTCGGTACCGGTGCTGCAGCCTCTGAACGAGAATGGTGGTCAGGCAACACACGAACCCATTCTACTGAGCGATGGCAAGATGAAGCTAGACGTGATGAAGCAAGTGCTGGGCAAGGCAGGGTTTCAGGCCAAATTTCGTGGCGGTATGCTTGTTTGCAACGATGGCGTGGTGCTTAAACGCGCGATGAACAATGAGATTGTGATGGAGGGCACACTGTCCAGGAACTATTATCGCATTCGAGCGCTGCTGTATGAGCAGTTCACGCTTGTGTAGGCTGCAGGCAGCAATTTTCCAAAACACGGTTTGATGAAGTTGAAAATCATAACCTGCTACATTGCGTAATCACGGATGAACTTCAAAAATAAATGCAGTAACCTGGGTTTAAAAACACTCTCTTTATAAATTACACCGGCGTAATCGATTGGAGAGTCCGACCCTGTTGGCTTGTGTGGCCCAGCATTGTCATTTGGGCGCTCGGTTGGTATTATATCGCTGCAGGATGTTGGCGCTTCAGCGGCACGCGGTGCGCTCTGGCGCCCAAGTTGCTCGCTTCTCGGCTGCGGCTGCTGCGAATCAAGAGGTTTCTTCAAACGTGCTACAGCTCGTAGTGCGTGAGGGTGAGGGATCGCGTGCGTCTCGTCGTTTGCGCAAGAAGGGTTTGCTGCCAGGCGTACTCTACGGCGAGGGCGAGGAAGGCAAGGACGAGCGCATGCTAGTCTCGCTCCCGACGCGTGCCTTTGAACGCGAGCACCGCAAGCTGTGGACGTCTATCGAGAACCAGGTGTTCCATGTGCAGGTGGGCGACCACCCGCCCGTCAAGGCCTATATGCGTGATGTGCAACTGGACCCCGTGACGGACGTGCCTTTGGCTGTAAACTTTCTTCGTTTCAAGCCCGGCCGAACTGTGTCTATCCCTATCACGTATTTGAACGAGGAAGGTAGTCCTGGCCTTAAGCGTGGAGGTTTCATTAACCATATCCACCACTCACTCGACTGCACGATCTTTACGGACAAAATTCCCATTACGCTGCAGATCGATGTGAATGGCCTACACGTGGGCGACAAGGTGTACCTCGAGTCTATCAAGTTTCCTGAAGGTGTAGTGCCTAACATTCCGGAAGGCTCACTAGTCGCCAAGATTGCTGGTCGTCGTGGCCTCATTCCGCGCGTGGAGGCTGTGGTCGACGACGTTGTGGACCAAAAGGAGGAAGAGGACAACGATGAGGAGTTCGATGACTGGAACGATATTTTCTAGGCATTTGCAGACGCAGAAGACAGATAAAAGCTGCGCGATGGCGCAACGTGGGGGACGTCCTTGCTTTTACCCCGTATAATGGCCCCTTCTGCAGCAGTTAAATAGAGCTCCCGGTTATCCATTTCATTGGAGGCTTGCGGCAGCGCGGATGTGTTGCACCGGGTACATTAGCTTTAGTTTGTGGCGTCTATTCCTTGATAATAGCAGCTTTAGGCTTGAAGAAGGATGCACTGTCAGGCAAGGTCTTCATTTCCTCCCCCTGAACCTTTTTCGCTTTACTTTCGGCTGCGTTATCCCTATGAGAGGACTTAATACCAGAAAAGTCTTCACGTAGCCAATCCAGCGATGCAGTTGTCTGAATTGTGCGCGTCACGTCCGACGCCTTGATCTGCCGCTTGTTGCGGTACAACGCCTGCTCGTAGCTCTTGGTGCCTAGAAACTGCGCGAATAGCTCCTGCAAATACAACAGCAACAAAGTCAGAGGCTACTCCTCTCTCCGCTCCGTGTAGGTCGGTGGTACCGAAGCCTTCGTGATCGCAACGAGCGCGTCTTTTGAGACTTTGCCGACATCCGGATCGCTCTGTACGATCTTTCGCACTCGTCCCAGTGGGTAGATACAGGCATGGGAGCCTCGCGCCGTCTTCTCCTCAGCCTTGGGCTCCTCGTTGACCTGTGGATTATCCAGCAGCTCCTGCGCATAGCGCGCCTTGTCCTTGGCTGCTAGCTCGACGTACACGTCCTTCTCCTCAGGCTTGAGCTCCTTCCACTGCGCACTGATAATCTTCTGAATATCGCCGACACGTGCGCCTGGATTTTCGTCCATCACCTGCTTGCGCCGCTCATTGCAGAAGATCAGGTACGAGCTCTGCGGCTTCTTCATGGGCGCCATCCGGTCTAATTTTTCAGATTGGGACCAAAAGTCCTACTGTATTTTACATGTTATTAATAATTGTTTTCAGAAGTTTTGGGCCAGAATTTGTAACGGGGTACGTAGCCCTAAGTGTACCCCTAGCTACATGATTTTTGGTACAAGGTACCAAGTTCGTCCGAGGCCAACCATTGGCTGATGACATTGCTTTTCTAAAGGTGACTTATAGTTTGTATATTAAGCTCAAGCTCAGCCTACCTTAAATTGGTCACTTCGCTCCCTTTCGGTAAAAGGGGACCTGTGAACTGCCGTTCACTGAGAGTTTGTATACAACTTCCTCTAGCGCAAGGTGCTGTGTGACCCCGTCACACTTGGTAGCACTCGTAGTCAATCCACGCCAACGCGGGTAGACTGCATGAACCTCTCTGAGGTTCGTTGCCGTGGATAGAAACGACTTCTCCCATCTGAACGACTCGGTTCGGGATGGAGGCCCTGCAGAGCCTGGTGGTGTCAACACCGGCGGAGCAGCTCGAGCGCGTCAATGCGTTTGGCGCTTACGAGCAGGGACTCATCGCGCATGTGCGGGAGCGCCTGTAGGCTCCGGCGGCGGAGACAACTCCGCCACACCCGAAGCCAATACGGCTGAAGGTTAAGCCGTATGAAGGGAAGGAAGGTGAGAACTTTCCTTCTGGGTCCGAGAGGTAGAGCTCGCGATGGACGCGGCTCTAATCTCGACCGAGTAACTTCGTAATGCTTTTACACTCTCCAACCTTACCGGTCGTGCTAACGGTGTAGAGGTGTTGGAACGAGGCTTGGACTGAATGGAGTGACTTCTGCACTTGGTGCGGAGACCGGAGTGAAGACACTTGAGCGGAAGAAGGAAGATTCGAAAGTGATTGATTTATCGGGGCTTACACTGCCCTCACTACCTATGTCATCCAATCATTATGTACTCGTCCAATCATCCAACTCGTCCAATCATGGGTGGCATAAGCAACGTACCATAGTCACCGCGGGGTCGTATTGGACCGGTTCAGGCTAACCGGTTAATGGGTACAGCTGGTCCACAGTACCAAGACCAGCAACGCTCAATACGCTCCCTCAATTGCGAACACGCGTGGATGCCGAGAGCAGCTTCTAGGTCCATGTGACGAGGCCCTGGGAGCGCCTTCGTCATGATGTCAGCCGGCATCACAGAAGCCTCGCAATACTCGAGCTTCACTTCACCACGTTTGACTTCATCGCGGATGTGGTGGATCTTGATGTCGATGTGCTTGGTGCGGCCGTGGCTCACAGGATTCTTCGTCTTCTTGATGCACGACTTGTTGTCTTCTTGGATCATGAGGTCGGGTCCAGTCTCATTAGCAGCTGCTAAGATCTCGCACAGTAGGCGATGAATCCACTTGCCTTCTTGAATTGCCAGACTGAGCGCGATGTACTCCGCTTCGCTCGTAGACAGCAAAACACTTGACTGCTTCTTGCTGCCCCAGCTCACTGGCGCACCCATCAGCATGAACGTGTAGCCGGAAGTCGACTTGCGGTCCGCGAGGTCACCAGCCCAGTCTGCATCAGAGTATCCGCGAAAGTCGATGTTGTCACCCGGATTGTAGCAGATTCCATGCGTCTTGGTGCCTTGCAGGTAGCGAAAGATGCGCTTGACCACAACTCAGTGTTCTTCTCGGGGTTTCTCCATGAAGCGCGACACATAGCTGTGGTGTTGGAATTCCCACGTGAACTCTAGCTACAAATGTAGTTAGGACGTTCCCACAACAATACGTCTACTAGGATAGTAAACGATCGTTCGGGCGGACCTGAAGACCCCAGTTCTGCCCTTGCACCGGGACAAACTGGACCTTGTAAACTACTTATATAGGCCAATCAGTAAAAATAAGAACACGCTACTAGCACGAGCAAAGCTAGCAGGTGTTATGAATCCTTGTGGTCCCAACAGCGGAAGGGTACCAGGCACGGGTAAGCCTTTTACGAGATCACCGAGTGTTCAACACTCGGTTGGAAGAATAAAAGGGATGCAATACAAGCAATCCCAGTCGTGCAAATAGGCAACAATAAGCCGTCACGTTTAAACCTCCCGATAATAATCGGCCAATACACAAAGTCTCTTGGCCTTGCCGGATGAACCCTCGCTTACAGAGCTTCGAGTTCACCGACAGGCATAGCACACTCAAACAAGCTTGACCAGACGCTTACCTTGAAGCCAGACGTCGCTCTGTGTGCTTGAGTGGAAATTCTGTTCTGTATTTATGTTTACCCTTTCGGGTCTATTCCTAATAAGAAGTCCTAATCAAGTTTACAAATATCAAGTGAACAATGATCCGTTATGGATCTCCTTGCACGCCAAGCGTCGTCTGCACCGTCGCATGAGCATCCTTAACGGTCCGCCAGACGGTGAACGTGCCTTCCAAGGGTCGCTGAGGCTTCCGCGAACTCATCCCAACCGCTGCTGAGGGTTCGTACCGTAGATGCGCCGCTGAATGCGAATCCGGCCAGTCCATTATTAATAATAAGGACAGCCTGAATTCAGTGACATATGGGCCGTGTCCGATACTTGTTGAAAGCTCGGGAGTGACGCCGTCGAGTCCCTTGCACCTTGGCGTCTCCGTACATCACATGACCGAGGGTTCGTTGCTTGAACATCTTGCGCGGTGTCACGTCTTTGTCGACGGGTGATAATCCGCAACTACGGAGAAATCACTACACCACAACTGCCCCTGTCGCAATGGAAGCCACGGGTACTAGTGCCCGTTGTGACATTTCTTCATTCTTCAATTCACCATCTCGCCACCGTATGTCCAAGCGTCTGAATCGAGCCGTGTCCGACGTGTTTCAGCGTCTCCATCCTCGCACGTCGCGAACGCGAACAGCTGGAGGTACTTCAGCTCATCCTTCTCTTGAATCATCGGCGCCTTGCTCATCACCACGCATTACTCGTTTTGTTTCTCAGGAGAGCAAGACCGAGGGCTCGAACGTCCCCCAGTCTGCTGCACTTCCTCCGACAGCAGCGTCATCAACCGGCCCTCCGGCGCTTCCTGCCCCGGACTCTTCACTCCCTGCGGTAGCTCCTGCAGCACTCCCCGTCGTCGCTGAATCCGCGGAGATGGCTCCTGCTGCTCCTCCTGCCCCAGCTGGTGGTACACCACCACTCACCGAAGATTCGCTGCGCGCCATGCTGGCTGAAAGTACGCAGGCATCGGTCAATCACATGATGACCTCGATAATTCCGTACTTGACTGCAATGGCTCGTCACCAAGTGCAGCTCAGCGTTGCGCCTCCTCTCCACGGCGATGTACACACTCAACGTTGCCTCGAGACTGCTGTTGGTTTCGATGATGTCCTCGCTGCGGTACAACCTATTCCTGACGCGCTGTCGGCATTACCCGAACGAGTCGCCGACTTGGAGCGTCAGTTGCGGTTTGCTCAGTCCGAGGCTGCTGCCGCCGTACGTTCGGTGGCACCCGAAATCATGGCTCGTGAGAACGCGGAGGCGTTCCTCAAGGCTGCCAGCGCTGAGATTGAAGCCCTTCACCACAACGTCAAGATTCTCCGCGAATCGAACGCCAAGAACGACGCTATGCTCGCCACTGTTCAAGCCACTATGGAGCGACACGCAGAAGACTTGAATCGTCTGCACTGCGAGGTCCAAGCTCGGGACGTTTTCATCAGCACGTTGCAGAAGAAGCTGGCTCGCGAACGCAAGGTGCACAAGTCTTCTATAGGAGCGAATACCGAGCAGACTCGGAAACTTCACCTCCTTCTGGTAAAGCTTGCCCAGGGCAAGTGTGCTGATAACGACACGCTCAAGGTCCTCGAGAACCAGCAAGACCGTAATACTCGCCTTCTCCAAGCGAATCGCACCCTCCGTGCACACGTGAGTCTGACCGGGATGGATCCCGAGGTACTTCGTCTGGCTGTTGATGGTACGTTCCTAATGTCGCTCCTTCCACCGTGTGTTCAGCAACTAACGTTCGTTCACAATCTTTCGTGATAGGTCTGACTGCGGGTGAGCTGGACCTGGACGCGCTGGACTTGGATCAGGAGACGTTAGTCGCTTTGCGGCGCATCCAGTCTGCCACCGCGTCTTCGGACGATCCTCAAGCCCTTCCTGCAGCTTTGGCCAATGCCGCTCACCAAGTGGCCCATGGGAAGTCCCATAAGCGTCTTAGACCAGGTGGCGAGGATTCAGACGACGAGCCGGACGACTCTGACGAAGACAAGGCTCCAATCCCAGCGGACAAGGCCAGTACTTCGATGGCAGCTGCCGGTCTCGGTGATGCGCCACCTGCCGATACTTCAACTCCCAAGTCTGCCCGTAGATCGCTGCTCGACCCGAAGGCGTGGAAGAAGGCAGCCCAGAAGAAGCGCAAGAAATCTCGTCCTCATTCTCCTGCCAAGTCGCCCCGTCGCTATATGAAGACTCGATCCAAGTCTGTACCGTCTTCTCCAAGTTAATGGTCGCCACCTCCTACACCAGCCTCTTCCTCGACTCCCGCCGTGGTCGACCTCAGTGGCGACCGGAGTGACGTGGACATGGGGACTGCTGATCCAAGTAGCGTCCCTTCGGTTCAAGAAACTGCTACAGAGCCTTCGGGTAAGGATGTGACCCCTGGGAATCACGACGATGTTCCCGGTTCTCCTGACGCGCCTTCGCCCCCACCTCAGGGTCCACACGATGTGGCCAAGCCACCAGCTTCAACAATTTCGCCTTCTCATGATCTATGCGAACCTTCGGGGTGACGGCGGTAAGCAAGGTGACCTCGGGTTCGCGTTGTGGGAGCGTCTCCACTGGCTTCCGTTGGCTGGTTTTGAACGAGGTCTCGCTGAAGAAGCTAAAAAGGTTGGCCACGACAAGGAACGCTTGAAGGAACTGAGAGCTCTGTTGAAGAAGCTCTTCAGTGAGCGCGACCGTCGTGCCGATCGTCTTCGTAACAAGTACCGTGAGCAGTACATGGCGTGGAGTCGTGACTCGGTTTCCTCTGGTGCTTCCGGCGTGCCGTTCATTCGTC